ATTATATTGGTTGGAGAAAGCAAAAGAAATGGTTTTGAGTTAAGATGATGTAATATTCTGACAATACAAAATAGGCCTTCGTGGGTTTTTATAAGAATATACAAACTGTCTTTACTGTTAACATAAGAGTCATGTGGAGGGTTATTCATTAGTTTCAACAAAAGTTGACAAAAACATTTGCTGTGATATGTGAAAAGGGACTTCCTACAGCAATGATTTTCAAAATTCCAGCCCAGCTAATTTTAGTTTTCTGGTAAATTATGCTCAAAGTCATCTAATATTGTGGCATGAAAAAAATAGTAAGCAGTAAAAAAAAAAAAGAAGCAAAAAAACAAAAAAAAAGCATTATTGTCCATCTAGTAGTGACTAACGCTATGCTATATTAGCTTGCTGTAGCACTAGCTAATTAGTTGACTTTAGGTTTAGTTAATAATGTTATGATACATCAGCTTGCTGTAGCACTGCTTAGCTAGCTTGAATTCATTGCTAATGAAGGCTAAACATCCCTGTTGGTTTTACATTATTTTTACTTTGAGAATTTTAAATGTCAACGGTGATAAGATAAAGTTCTATTTTTTCCTGCAGGACACTCAATTGAGAATTAATTGACAATAATTAAACCATTTAAAAAGAACAATGAAAAACAATTTCCATATGCATTATGCATTACATTAACGTTAAGGTCAAAGAGCAACATCAAAATAAGTTGTAGTCTGTTATATTGTGATTATCATCTAAATTTGCTTGCTTTAGTAACTTCTGTCTACATATGATATTGTTTTTTTAAAAGTATATATATGTTATTAGAGAGTAGACATTGTACTCCCAGTTTGCCCTAGTATAAGATTATACGTCATACTTGTTAGGTTTTTTAGAGCATTTCTTTTTGTATGGAGGTACTGTGCATGCTGCAGGAACACATTCTTAAGACTAATAATAACACTAAATAGGGCAATGACCATCCAAAGGTTCTTTTAATTATGAACATGCCTTCATATGTGTCTGCACCATGTTCTTGAGATTCCAGTTTGAACACTGAAATCTACCGTGCAGGTTCACGGAGGTGAAACGCTCCCATGTTTCCACAGTAGAAGCCCACCGCTGTCAGCCGCCCTGCAGGGTCACGACCCCCTCATTGAATACAGTGAGCTGCACAAAGCATGAATACAACCATTATCATAAGGGCCATTGTTTTACACAGAAAATGCTGAATTGTTCAAAGCCAAAACTGTTGGCACTGCACTCTGAGCGCACACATTTACATGTTAGTGTGCACAAACTCTCCACTGGTCGCGTTTGTGCATCTGTTTCTATTGCTGGTTTGTATGTGCGTTTGTATGTTGTTTTGTGCAGCTGGAAAGAGGAGACAACATGACTGTGTGTTTAGCATATCAATGGCGTCCAGGGCAGAAACACTCTGAGCTTTCTAGTACCTGTCTGCTCACCTCTACTCGCTGTATTTAAGGGGCTTTCTTGTGGCCTCGCAGAGCTGACATGAACATCTTTACTAAGGTCCCAGGATTAGCCCAACAAACCAGGTATGTTGAGTTGAGAGTTCCATGTTGCTCCAGCCGGGGGGCCCGCAGACCGAGGAGACACCCAGCTCAGAGGGGTCCAGGTGGGTGGGCCCGCGGCTCCACAGCCCACCTCCTGCTGGTTCTCGTGCTCTGCTCTCCACCAGTTTCCCAAAATCACCTGGAGAGTGATGATGGTTGCAGGAGACATGCAAACACACTGCAGATGATAGTTTGAATCTGAAATCATACAAATACTCCTGTAAGAATTGGGAGTAGAATCAGGAAGTGCAACAGCACATAAGAAATGACATTGTCAGAAACTCCAAATTCAATCGCAGACAGGTTTCTAACATTAACACAGACGACAGAGCTTCTTTGATTGTTGTAATTATTGACTGTGTGTGTGTTCAGGTTACAATTATTCATTAAAAATCCTCTATATCTACAGCAAGCTGGGGTCTGTGCTCCAACGTGCCTTCTACGGGTCCAGTGGGAGGGTGAGTCAAATAATTATGTAGTTATTATGTCAAGGCAAACGAAATTTCCTAATTTAAAGTGAGGACAACTCAACAAAACTGACTGGTTCTGTGGTGCATGAATTGTGATTAGAGCTGTAAAAGGTCAATATGACATCAGGTTGGTTATTTTTTAAGCAAAGATTTAAAGATTTTCCATCTTTTTTAGTTGTGGATTGTTGATTTAACAAAGGAAAACACTTGATATCAAAACAAATGATATCTCTCTCATATCAGTGTGCTAGAGCTGCAGCTATCAGTTATTCTCCATGTCGATTAATTTTCTCGATTTCTCGATTAGTTGATAAGACAATAAAATGTGAAGAAATGGTAAAATTTTGTCCACAAGACAAAAATATTCAGTTTTCTGTCATAGAGGAGGAAAGAGGCCAGAAAATGTTTATTTTTAAGAAGCTGCAATCAGAGAAAATACACTTGTTAACTTGTTAAAAAACTACATAAACTGATGAATTGATCAGAGTTTGCAATTTATTTAATGCTAATAGTACTAATCAGTTAACTGATTCATCGTTCCAGCTCTACTGTGTGTTTAGAATAGAGCTGCAGTCTGGAGGTGCTTAACTTAGCTTAGCTTAGCTTAGCTTAGCTTAGCATGGAAACAAGGGAAACAGTGACCTTGACTCTGCCCAGAGTTTAAAAAATACACCCACCAGCTCACCTAAAGCTATTCGGACTCTTTGGATGTAAACTTTGGGAAACAACTTCCATTTGATCAATCCATCCCTCCTCCATTATCTGAGTTTTTCAAACTCCCTTTCATTACAGGAAACAACAGCAACTTTGAAATATACAATAAGACAAGTCTGCTTGATTATTTAAAAAAATAATTTTGGGGGGCCTCTCTGCATGCAAATGTTCCACCAAAACCAGTTCTGCCACCACTACTTTACTGGGACATTGTTGCTGCAGCCTGGGCTAAGCTCCACCTACAATGGCTGTGATTGGTTTAAAGAAATACAGACAAGCTGGAGCCTTTTTCCCCTCCATAGCAGAATAATAACGAGGTGCAGTGGACCGTTCTCCAGAATTGTAGAGAAATGTCTGGATATGTGAGACCAACGTGAAACTGAAGCCTTGTTCAACCTCTTGAGCAATTCTCATAAAATCAGTTTACTGCAAGCAAAAGATGGCAGATAGTTTATGTCCTCCGTAATTATATATGACACCGGGAATTTTTTTAATTTATCAGCATTTCCCCGTCCACTAAAATACAACAAAAAAGATCCACAGAATGAATTAAAGGTTCATTTTAACCGTTGTTATGGCACAAGATGTTCAATAAGTGGAAGAAAAGTCTCCTTTTACACAGTGTTCATGTTTTAGTGGGGATGCCGGATCACAAGTAAAAAGTTTTCAACATGAAAGCTTTAAGAAAAAGGCCTTAAAAGGGTGAAATTTGTAAAATGTTATAGTCACGAAACACTTCTTAATAAGAAACCCGTCAGTGTAGAGGTAGCAGCTGTTAAATCCCAGTCGGCTCCTCATGTTTCTTGTTTTTCCTCTTCTATCTCTGACCTCAGGTGACCCTTTTCGAGCAGCGTAACTTCGCTGGCAGGCGTCTGGACCTGAGCTCCGACTGCTCCAGGCTCAGCGACAAGAACTTCCCAGAGAGATGTAACTCTGTGCAGGTGGAGAGCGGAGCGTAAGTCCACACTCAGGCCCATCTAAAGCAGGCGGCTGACCTCCATAGCACACACTGGTGTTAAAACATGTCCAGAAAGTAGATAAATATCTGTAGCCTTCACATGGACATCTGTTTTTACTGATTACAAACGGTAACTACAGGAGATAATGCTGTATTATCCCAAAATCAGTGGTGAAGCACAAAGATGTTCCCTGCTGTTGTCTAACAAGCTGATTTGAAAACAGGCCTTTGAGAGGACCTAAGTTTAAATTTCCATGAAGTCTGGTGCACAGATGAACCACAAAAAAATCCCACATAAAACAATTAAACAGCCGGAGAAACGATTCAGAACCAATATTTAGCTTTTCAAGTGAAACAGTTCTAAGTTTTAAGTTTGAAGGTTGCTCTTACTGTTTTCTAAGATACACATTCTGTTGAATTAATGCAGTTGCTGCACAGAAAGCAGACATGGAACAATATTACACACAGTCGTATGCAGACTTAAAAAACTTTTGGTTGGAAACGTTTAGGAACCAAAATAGTGGCTATAATACAGTAGTATATGAGAACTAAGGTGGAAGAAGTGTAAAAATACTCTGTTACAGGTAAAAGCTTGAATTTGTATTTGAGTACATAAATATCAGCATAACCCTAAACCTGTAGGACAATAACTTAATTAATAATAAGATGTCACAACAAAATTAGATGATAAAATATTAAAAGGCAACACTAGTAAAATGATTTTTAAAAAAACACTGTAGTATTTGACCTTGAAAAACACACAAATTCCCCAAAACATAAAAATGAGTCAAGTTTTATGTTGTTTTTCAAGTTACTCCAGGTAGAGACATGATGTTAAGATTGCATTCTATTCTATTTGTTGATGATATACTATTTAATAATCATAACTAAAGTAAAAATAAAATGTTTGCCTCTAAACTGTAGTGGAATAGAAGCATAAAGTTGCATAAAATAGAAATTGTCACATAAACAACAAAAAATTGTGAAAACAGTAAACCAAAACATTTGGCTTCACATCTGGGCCCTAAAAAAAAAGAAGAAAGAAACTCTGCATTACGATAAACTTTATCGAAATGACTTCATTCTTAGTTCTGCTCAACAAAACCTGGATGAACAAATCAGCAACTAGTGGAAATCTGAAATTAAGATTACAGTTTGCAGGATCACTGAATGAGAGTTAATGTGGTTTGACAGCAAGTTGTACAGCACAGTTTTTTTCTCCATCTGCAGCTGTTTGCATCTGTCTCTGACTGACCTGTCTCCTCTCTGCTCTCTTTAAGATGGGTCGGCTACGAACATGAGAACTTCCGGGGCCGTCAGTACCTGTGGGACATGGCCGACAGGGGGGAGTACAACTGCTACGACAAGTGGTGCGCTCAGGTGGACCACGTCTCCTCTGTCCGCTCCGTCAAACAGGTGAGAAACAAGTTACAGCTGTGACAGGTGGACTCACAAACACTGCGCGCACACAAAACACTGAGAGTTTAAATGAAAAAAAGTAACTTTACGTCTACAGATTGAGTTGAATCAGTTGTTAAATCTGACATTTTATAGAAAAAAATCTACATGAAAGACATAATGTGTAGCTGCAGTACATGTTTTATTTAAATCTTAAATAAATAACATAAAGAAACTACATATGGAATTCTGTCACACAGTCTTGTGTTGCAAAAATAGTCATTAAACTGAATCCTAAATCTTTAAAAGTGATTTTTAGGCACTGATCACAGTCACCAAGCACATTTTAAACAGAGTTGATTTAAATTTAAAAGCATTAGAAGCAAAACAAGAGGCAACAAAAATCTAATCAACTAAGATGGAAAAATATATATTAAAAATTTATTGTTTTTTTTATAAAACACAAGTGCTTCACAAGGTAGCAAAATAAAACAGATAAGTCATAGCAGCTGTGCATCTCTGCATCTTTCAGGACAACAACCCTGCCAGAGCTCAGCTGTTTGAACGAGCTGGTTTCTCCGGTAAGAAGATGGAGATTCAGGACGACATCCCGAACCTGATGAGCCGCTACAGCCTCAACAGAGTCGCCTCCATCAGGGTGCTCGGAGGAGCGTAAGTGCAGCATCCCACCTGCTTTCTTCAGTTTTTCACAAATTAACATACTTTAGTGTTGTATTAGTAACTTTATTATTTTTAAGATTCAGTTTACTTTCCTCCTCTAACTGTATATGACATGGAGTAAGTTTAGGATTAATCAGAGCAGCAACCACTCTGATCCTAAACAAACCTTCTGACATTTAAGAGTCTCACATAAAGTAATCTGGTTCTCCTCCACAGCTGGGTGGTTTATCAGGAGCCCAACTACAGAGGAGCTCACTACATCCTGGAGAAGCGCGATTACAACAACTTCTCAGACTGGGGCAGCCAGAACAGCACCGTGGGCTCCATGAGGAGAGTCCGCTTCAACTGAACGCCACCTCGGATCTACTGACAACGTCACACACACACCAAACCTGTCAGCTTTACACTCTACAAAACCTATTTTAGTAATAAACTCCTAAAAGACAAATGCTTTGGGTCTCAGAATTATTTGATTGCTTTCACTGAAAGACACTGAGTTTGTTTCAGTGGGAAGAATTTGATCCTTTTCTTCTGATTGAGTAATCTGGAACCAGCAGTGACAACATTTCTGTTCCTGTGAATAGAAGGTCAACTGATCTCTAAAAGAAGAAGTAGTTCAAAGATGAAACCTTTTTTTAACCGTTTTAAATTCATGGATTCATGTGTGTTTTTGTTGTTCTGTGTAATTCAAGACTGAAAATAAGCATGAAAAATCCAAGAGATTTGAGCTTGAGCATCTTCGACTAAAGACTCAGAGCTTAAATGGGTCAAGTGGCATGAAAAAGACCAAAATGTATGCTTCTTTAAAAAAAACAAGAAAAACAGAACACATTTTAAAGACAAGATTAGTGGGGGGTTTTGGTCATCATGTTATACAATAGTGAAAATGAGGATGAAAACTACAAAAATGTGGTCACTCCAAGAGTTTTTAAACCTAAGTCTAAGAGCTTAATGTAGCTCATCAGGGCTGTGGCTTGTTCATATTCATTGGAAGGAAACTTAAAACAATCAGCAGCCATGAGCTTCTCAGCACTAAGAACAATATAATAACTGATGCCCACAAAAAAAGTAGTAAGAACATGAGGAAGGAGCATCTGTGGATAAGGTGCCGAGGACTGGAAGGAAAACTTGAGAGAAAACTGCCCTTAGGGTGGGTAGAAAATAAAACCAAAACCCTGTTTGACTGCAAAAGAGCTTAGGAAAGATTCCTCCAACTCTGTTGAACTGAGAAGAAATCACCTGCACTAATATAACCTGTCATGGATTCTCAACAAAAATAAACATGAGGAATTTGCAAATGAAAAACTGAACAAGACCGATGCCTTTTGGAAACAGGTCCGAAGTTAAAGTACATTTTTGCTATAGTGAGAAAATTTGAGAAGAAAAAAAATAAGGTTGAGGCTGACATTGAAAATCTGTGCTTTGAGCTTGTGTTGCAGAAGACTGCACAGGAAACAATTTACTCAGTTTCAACTGAATGCAAAATTTGTAAGTGAACATCACAGCATCTGTAAAACAGCTGAAGATGAAAAGGACTTTAACAGGATCTGACCTCAAAATACACAGTAGACGACAAGTTTCACACGCTCAGCCACACAATACAAACATAATGGAAAACTGAACTGAATCTACCTCCAAACACCAGAGCATGAAAGACAGCCAAAGACGACAGAACTTTAAGCTTTCAACATGAGGATGGAAGAAAATCCCCTCAAACAGGAGCTAACTGAGCTGCTACAAAGAGCCTACAAGTTGCGATATGTCTACAGCAGAGTCATTCAGTGCAGGACAAATAGACTCAACTTTTCTCAGCCTCTCAATCGTTCCTAAAATATGAATGAATCAACCCTTTATCCTCATGCTTTTGGGAAATCAGCATAAATCTACATCCACAGTAGCAGCTCTTTGCAAGTTTAAAACAATGACAAATGTTTAAGAAGCAAAGACTTGCACATTAAATTAATCACCATTTGTCTGTGTGGTCTGTTTGTTACCATGAAAGTCACAAAAAGCTGCTGCAGCCAAGTGCAAAATGACTCAGACATTAGGCTGCACTACAGATTAACACAAACCAAACCAGTCAGAGATGTTGCCAAAACCACTGCAAGGTAAACTAAAACATTTTTATTTAGCTTTTTGAGCAAGGCAGATGTACCACAACGTCCAAGATCTGAAACTTGACACTAAAATTCAAGAACACACAATAAAACTATTGAGTATATTTCAGAAACAAATAAAGGCACTTAAGAAAACACTTAATTTACATTTGATAAAACACAGTGCATGAAGTTGTTGCATCCAGTTTACAGCACAGACTTCTTGAAGCAGAATAAAACAGGTTGTTCAGGAGCTGGAGAGAACTCTGGACAGGTCGTGGAGGCTTGGCAGCAGAAAGTCCATCAGAAGGAGACGCTGAACATGAGAAATCAGATGCACAGCCACCTGGAACACTGAGAACCTGCTGGACATCAAGTTAGCTCTGGATACGGAGATCAATGCTGTCTCCCAGCACCATAAAAATCAGCTGTTTAAAGTTTGTAACAGAAAGTTCTTCACAAGGTTTCTGCCTCAGAAGCTGGTTGCCAACAAACCTGAACGGGAGCTCAGGCTTGACTGACATGATGCAGTTCAAGGTACACTGAAGATGAATCAGGTGGATCACAAAAAGATTCTGGAAAAACAGGATAGTGTCCAAAATTTCAAGTAAAGCATGGAGCTCCGATGAAAACATCTTAATAAAAACCCAGTGAAGTTTGTCCACGGGTTGGGATAAAACTTTGAATAAAGTGCAAGTGAAACGTCCGCGGATGAAATGTAAACATTTCTCAGGGATTGCTGAGCAGAGCAGCCGCCATCTTCTCGACGATGGGCGACTTCAGCTGAGGGACGAGGCTGATCTTCATCAGTTTGCTGCTTGAGTATTTGTTCTTGACGGCCTGCAGAGAACAAGTCATTCAGTTTGTGCCTACAGGTCATTGTCAGAAGTTTGATTTTAAAAATCAGCAGACTCACCTGGAACTTCGTTTTCCCCTCGTTTACCATCACAACGTTTTTGGCGATGTGCTGCATGATGGGCTTCAGGTGGGCCTCGTCGTACGTGGAGTAGTGCTGCTGTGTGGGAGACTGACAGAGAAGGTCGATTAAACCACCTGCCTGAACCCGCAAAGACGAACTTGAATTCAGTGTCTGAGGGTCAAACTCACCCATGGCAGCCCGTCGAGCAGCAGCTGGGAGAGACACAGGGAGGCAGCAGCGATCTCAGAGGGCCGATAGTGAACCATGTCGTAGTCGAGGAGGGTCAGCTCCATCAGATACTTGGCCAGAGTGTGTCTCTCTACATCAGACTGAGACAAACATCCAGTAAACTCACTGTTTTGTAAAATGATTGGGCCATTTTCACACAGCATGTAAACTTAAGGATGCTTCATGTCTACTCTTCGCTCACAAGACTAAACTCCTCACAGTGAGGATGTAAGAAAGAGACTTGATAGAGAAACGAGATATCACAGCTACACAACACACTGAAATAGACGAGAAGCCAAAAAGTAGAATATTGAATAAAATTAGAGGAGCAGTGGGAGAGAAAACAAAACGGTGGAGTGGTGATGCTGCAGCTGCTGAATATATATGTAGGAAGTAATGAACAGATCTGGTTATGTCAGTCAATATAATTTTGATTTTAAAGGTATTCTGATTAAATAATTGAGAAGGAAAGTCAGAGTAAACTTTGCAGCTCTACACATCCAATTCATGCAGAAACTCACATTTGCCACCTTTGAAGCCCGTCTGAGGAAGTGTAGCGGGAGTGGACGTCCCAGCTGAAAGTTGAGGCTCCTCAAAACCAGCTGCTCCATCTCCAGAATCTGAGACTTTGTGAAGGCGTTGTCTGTGATGTAGGCAAAGTCTCCGACCTCAGGAGCGTACATCTCCTCATATTTACAGGCCACCAGCATGGCAGTCACTCCAACCAGCTGCAGCTTCCTGCGAGACACCGGCTGGACCTGCAGCACAGCAGGAAGGTTTCACACAGCCCGCACAACACAAAGAACAAAGTGTTTAGATGGTTCTTACCTGCAGAAAACGGTCCAGGACAGCAACTGTGAGGTACAGAGTCTCCTGCAGCAGCTGGAACCTGGCGTGGACCTGGACCAGCCAGTCGATCAGAAGAGCTCGCATGCGCTCTGTGATTTCATAGCCCTGCATGTAGTTGGCTCGAACAGCCTGCTGCACCTGAGGAGACACGCAGGCGTGAAGAAACCGCAGATAAAAGCAGCTGGTGCGGCTCAGTGTGGGGATAACTTACCTCCAGGGTGTGCAGATATTTATAAATATCTTTGACGTATTCTGAGCAGAGCTGTGGCTGGTCTGCGTCCTGCTCATCGATGTCCTGCACAGCCAGCAGTGTCTCAGAGAAAGCCTGGCACAGCTCCTCCTCTGCCTTCATGGACATGTCAGCTGACTCCTCTGGCACTGAAGGAATAGGCTCTGCAGCTGCTGGGACGTGGACGACTGGAATCACTGCCACAGTGGGCTTCACTTTTTGGACACCTGATGCTTTGGCAGGTCCCCTCTTCTGAGGAAACAAGAGTTTAAGGCTTGTTAGATTTGGAAAAAGTGCTGTTTATCTGAAACTTAACTTTAGCTCACATTGGGCAGTGTTCTTGTAGTCAGCACCTTTACTGCAGCTAATAAAGCTCAACCATGCAATTTTAAACATCCTAGATCAGTGTCAAATTCAGCTGGAGCCCAATGGAGCAGACTTCCACCTCCTAATTGTTAAATGGTGTTGTGTCAGAACTAAGCTAAATCTCCTCCAGTATCAGTGTTGAACTCATACACACTCTTTATATTTTGCTTTCATTTACTTTCTGGCTCTGAATGTACAATAACAAAATCCTGTCTTTGACTAACAGCTGAAGCAGTACAATCCACAGAGGGGATGTGTGGAGTTTATGCAGGTGGTTTTCACTTTAAAATAACTGGGAACAGAGTCGCCATGTTCAGGATGAAAACAGATTTTTATTTATTTTTTCATTCCAGCAAATGCCCAAATGTTGTTTACTCTGGAGAATTAATATTGTTTTCTGATGTAGACCACTAAGTGGAGTTTTACAGGGAGTTTGAAGCTTTGACATTTAAATTCCAGACAGGCAGACAGTCAGCCTAACAATGAACACACTATAATTACTGAGTTTTTAAGTTACAGTAGATACTTGAACTACATCAGTGCAAAGATGTGTACTTTAATGTGTGGCAGGACTATCAGTTGCCTGAATCATCAATTAAATGCAAATACTATATACTAAAAATAGGAATAAAAAAAAAAGTGGTCTGCGATCCGACATTGTATTTGGTTGTTAAGCTTTTCCTTATTCTGCGATGTTGCTTTATACGAATTCCAATATGGCGCATTACTAAAAAGAAAAGCTGCAACCTGTCTGGACATGCAGCATAAAGAAAGCATATATAGTTTATTATGAGATGTGTGCAAGTACAACACAGCACAGAACACAGCTGAAGGGACACGAGACGAGTTAAATGTGTTGTTCCTTCTAGCGTTCGTTACCTTTGTGTTGACTGCTGCTCCGGGAAAGTTGGTGAGCTCTCCCAGGGCAGCTCTCCTCGAAGGCGCTGCAGTGGTTTTACCCATCTTCGGTGGGTTGTTTGCGGCTAGAAGCTGTGAAAAGACACGAATATAAAACTTCAGACACGAAAGAGAAGCAGGACAAACTCTATTACAGCGACTCTGACGGCTGCATTAAAAAAAAAAACAAGGGCCAAGCTAATGTTAGCTAGGTAGCTAACGCAGCTAGCCACAGAAGCTAACAGCAGCTGCTCCAATAACAACTAAACGCAAAGAAAAAGCGAAATAAACTCGGCTAACTCACCGCACTGCGAACTTCCAGAGAGGACATTTCTAACGCGGACAGTCTTTGGTTTACAGGAAAACGCGGTGATTTATTTCAGCAGCAGGCAGCACAATTTATCGTCAAGATCCGTGGTTTGTTTGTACGCTCACAGAGACACGAGCAGCTTTCAAATAGCGCTCCGTCAAATCTGATTGGTTACAGCTGGAGGAAGGACGTTTCTGATTGGCTGAGAGCCTAAGGCTAAAGGTCGAGTGCTCGCGTTTTGTTTTTTTTTCACAACAGAACTTTATTTACCAATGAATGTGCATACAGAATTAAACAAGCATAAACAATTTGACAGACAGGTGTTCAAATAATAAATGTATTAAAAAAAAAAATTGAATTCTATGTTAAATAAAAGACAATCAATTTATTAAAAGATAAAAATAATAAATACATTTTAAAAAATAAATAATAAGAAACAGAAAAATCCTAAAAGGGACAAGAGAAGGAGCATCACTGTTCTTTTTGGAACAGTTATTTAAATATTCTCACAGTTTTATTGCTTTTTTGTATTTATTTTAACCATAGACTGTATAAGAAAGGTGGACGTAGCTACAGTGACGTCAAAAAATGAACGAGTAATTTCCTCTGCCTTAAAGCCTCGTTTAATCAGTGGTGGGCCGTCAGGACCTGATTTGCTGGCCTAATCTCTATCAGAATGACTGACTTACGTCGTAATATTTTCCCATTATTCTTTTAACATTATTCCCAATAGTCTATTCTCTGCATTTCATAGGGTGTCTCTGGCCTGTGGTGCTTCCAGCAGCATATGTTTATATTAGAGCTTTTATCCAATCATATTTCAGCCATCATGTGTTGCCAGGGTCTAAGAAATCTGCCCTGAGGCCTTTGGAATCACAAGTACAGGGGCCTGTAGCTTAAAACGCATTGCAATGAAACTGTTGCTTTAACCCAGTGTTTCTCAAAGTGTATGGCATGCAGAGTAGTGATGTGTCATGCGCAGAAGTGCCAACTCCCATCGAGTGAGAGCCGCTCCCGACTTTTGATTGGCAGCATGGCGGCCTTGTGGCCAATCACGTGAGGATTTACTGCCACAGCTGATGTTATAATGGAGATGCGATGCTATCTTGAGGAGCCCCTTATCCAAAGAGCAGAAGACCTACTGAGCTGGTGGCAGGCCAAGGCCTCAGTCTTCCCCCACCTGGTGAAGGTGATGGAGGGGAGACTGTGTATTGTGTCGACATCTGTTCCCTCTGAGAGAGTCTTCTCAAAAACAGGGCAGATATTAACTACATCAGCTGAGACATGTAATTTTCCGCCAAGGAGGTTATGTTGAGCTCTGACTCCATTCGGTCCTTCAGTCCTCACCGCTGTCTTCTCAGTAGAACAGGAGGAAGCTACAGCCAGGCAGCATCACTGGAGTGGGCTGAGCAGAGCTACTGAAAGATAAGTTCATAACCACGTTGTGACATTAACAATGACTCAACATGTCTCATATACTATGGAGGAAGATAGCTACCAAAAAGATGTGTGCATGATTTTAGCATACAAATGTTTAACATCACAAATATGAATTGTTAAAATCATGCACACATCTTTTGAATAGCCATCTTACTCCATACTGCTGCAGCCTGTGAACTCATCCATAGTTCAGTGTCCCAGCTGCAAACATCACACCCTCAGTCTCTGATCGTCATCTCAGGAGACTTTAATCATACATCGCTCTCTACCACTCTACCCACATTCAGCCAGCATGCAGACTGCCCAACCAGAGACGGTGAGTATGTATATTACTTATACTTTTCTTGTACTTTCTATATTTTTGGATGCTGCGGTGTTGTGTAAATTTCCCCCAATGAGGGATCAATAAAGTATTCTATTTTATTCTATTCTATGCATTTCCAGGCTCAAATTTAAACCAAAACCTTGTAAACTGCCAGGTTTAAAAACCACTAAAAATAATGTTGTGGTTCTCTTGTGACATTAAGCTGTCTCATTCACAAAGTCAGCACAAAATTAGCCTTACTGCACTTTTCCTGCATCAATCTGTATTAGACCATTAAAAAAATACATAACTCATGAGATCACAGAAAATAACAAGAGAAACACCTCTGCCTGCTCCAGTTCAAGCGTTTATTGAGACAGCGAAAATGAAAGCATCAATATAAATCTATATATCTTTCAGTTGGGTTCCTCTGATGCTCCAACCTCTGCGGTAATGACAACATCCTGCCCTAACGGGGTTTAAAATAAAAGTCCTGACGTTTTACAAGTTCACAAAGCTGAGCGATCCTATTTCTCTACTAGAAATCAGCGGTGCTCTTTGTCAGAACTCCCTCCTATATGAATGGATGTGCAATGAATAAACAGTACAAAAATACAAAAACCCTAATGGACGGCTGAAGAATAACAAGAACCTGGTCACGCGGTTTTCAGTCAAAGCCACAAGAGATGAACAGGAGGTTATATTTGTATGGCGGCAAAAAGAAGAGCTGCCCAAATTTAAGGGACAATCTGCTTATAGTTTAGATTTTTTTTTGCGATAACAAATCCTCCTGTGCCATCAATGAAATCCTCATAAAATGTGTATTATTCCACAACTGAAAGTAGTTCCCAAGAAAGGGTTTTAAAGATTTGTAAAAAGCTACAGCTGTTGTAACAAAAACCTAGAATACTATGAGCCTTATTCTTTAAGATTATACAGTAAACTCACCAGAGAGGTCACTTCATGCCAGCTCACGTAACCCTCCCAGCTCATGTCAGGGGATAAAAAAATTCTCAAAGTTCTGCTCAAAATCCTTCTTTAGGTATGAATTTTTTAAAAAGCCTTATCAATCGCTTGTTCTCATGGTATTGATTTGAAATGTGAGCTGTAATTAATAACAATGAATGAAGCAATAAATCTTCAATTTCCAGTTTACATCTCCACTAGTTTTCACTTTTTGCAGTCGAATTCAGATTCTGTGTTATTAATATTCTCTAGAATTCATCTGGTCCTGCATGAAGCTTCAGAGCTAAAAACCCACTTTTTAAGCTATTACTAATTGCATATTTTCCAAAGGAGAATTCCGAAAAACTTCTTGAGGCATTAATGGAAGAATTGGTCAAATTAATGGCAGATATATAAAACGGCAGAAAGGCAGGGTGAAGTGAGGCAGCATCAAATGACCCGTACATGAAACATGGAATGATGGATACATATGTGCAGAAAACTGAATTATCTCAAATGTTTCTGGTACAGAATTATTTTTTTTTTGGGATACAGCAGTAAAATCTATCAAAAAACACCCTGCAGCTCCTTTTTCCTTTTACGGATTCAAACCAAGTGTAAGTTATCACAAACCAATGACTGCCCTGTCATCAGGCGATTGCTTTTTACTTTTTAATTGACTTAAAAAAAATAATGTAAGAATACACCACAATGTTTTGTATATATAATACCTGTAATGTTTCAACACAGATAGCTGACGGTTTGCCATGAGTCTGTAAAACAGGTTCCTAACGAAAGATGGCTTTTTTTGTTTTGTCGTTGTATAAAATGAGAATGTTCTATAAAAAGGTCCTAAAAATGCAAATGCCATAACCGATCAGTCAGATTTGTGTCAATATAATCAAACAAACTTTCTTAAATATCAAACAATAGTAAGTTGAGAGAGAAAATAAAAATTATCCTAAAAGTATAACTTGCAAACAAATGATTTGGTCCTTTTGTTTTCAGCGTTCTGCTTCGTTTTCTCTGATTAGACTTTTACCTTCACCAGTTTTTTGTTTGTGTCGCAGTTCTGACACCAACCTCTCGTGCTGGATGTACTGAAATGCTAATGAAGAGTTTTATTTGATTAAAGTGGCACAAATCTAACTACAGTAATAAAACCAGCATTGACTCAGTACTGATTTTTCTTAGTGACCCTCTAGAGCTGCAACTATGAATCAATCGTTTGTCATTTTTCAGGCTGAAGTGCCAACATTAGACGTTTCCAGCTTTTACGATGTGACAATTTTTCTGCTTTTAATAACCAAATAAGATCATAAAGTTGAAGTTTTCTCAAATAAAACAAGCAATCTGAACAATCCCCTCTGCTGTGAGAGATTAAAATGGGAATTTTCCTTTATTTTCTTCAGTTTTACAGACAAAATGAATTGTGGAAATAATCCGCAGATGAATCCACAAAAAAAAAAAATCATTAGTTGCAGCTCTAGCGCATTCAGCTAAAAAAAATAGGTGACAAATTAAAGACAAACCCAGAGTATGTCGGATGGGAATCTGAACATGTTTGACAGCAACACACGACCATCATATAAACACAGAATGAGAGAATATCTATTGGAAGAGCCGTGTTCATTATTCTAGCAAAGACCTGGAGTATCTATGATGGAGGTTTTTAACACTTCACAGAAACACATAATGTTGGTTTGTCTTTTAATTTGTCACCCATGTGTGCAGGTGCTTCTATTTGTATTAAAATCAAGCAGTACAAAGTTTCAGTCAAACCCTGCAGAGTTCTGCACCGTCGCCTCGCTTCTCTTATCGGCCACATTCTGCTGATGTGAAAGACGACCAAAGTCAAACAGAAAAAGAGAAAAAGTCTGTTTCTGTCAGTGATTTCTTCCCTCTCCTATTTTGAAAAATCACTCACAGTGAACTGTAACCGTCATTCTGAAAAAAAATCAAGAAAAAAAAAAATCGCTTGTTTTCCGATCCGAAACGAGACAAACAGGAGACAAACGGTGAGCCAGCGTCTGTGGCCGTTAACATTTATTCTGCAGGTGGAGTGGATGGCTGCTCTGGTCGCTGGTGAACACAATCAGTTGCCGTTTAGGTTCATCTGAAGAAACTCATTGTGCAGTTTCTCCTGCGCCTCGTACAGCTTGCGCAGCTTCTTGGCTTGTCCTTTGCTGAGCTCCTTCCCTTCGGCATCATGAGTGGGAAAACCCTGTCGACAGCAACAACAAGGCCTTTTAGTTTTTACTGACTGATGGTCAGATTGTGTGATCTGGACATTTGACGAGTACAGGGATTAACTTTGTTCCCTGTAACGCCAAGTGTATCATATATGATACAAGAGTTTTTGAGACCTCTACAGTATAAGTGGGATATTTTTATCCTGAAAAACCTGATTTTTATATATATATCTCAGTTAGAGTTTTCCAAAAAGTCAATCTAAAACTACCGTTGATAAAAGGTCAAAATGCAGAGAAACAGTCTTATTTTTCTAATTGTGAGGATGTGAATCCTCCTTAACCAAACTCATAGGATACAGCCTTGTACACACTAATACAGATATTCTTCTCAACAGATATCGGCCCTCTCCGTCCACACGGCCATCGTTTTACTAATTATCTCTGCACCTGTACACATGAGAACTCATCAGCAACTATAAACGCTGTAACAATCACACCAGACAGCCCACATTAAAGGCACGTCAAATACCAGAGAATATTCAGTCATGTCATTGTTTTTGCAGGTTTTAAACTGCAGACTAGACTGTGAGTAATACTGGACACAGCAGAGGCTTTAGTCACTAAACTGCTAATGCTAACCAAAAATATTGGTAAATATACACAGTGTATATCCAGTATTGGTGTTATTCCAGGTTCATGCTAAATACACACTGCAACAATAGGCATGTGTGAATTGAGGTATTCAACATGTTCCCACAGAAAACCAGAGCTTTTTAAAATCTGTGTGACCTAAAACACAAACATAGAGGAAAATGTTCAACTTGTAAACTATCAGTATTAGTGTGGTCAAGGCCGAGGTCACCTCTAAAGATCATTGTGTCATGATTGAAATATTTCTTTTACAAATTCAGGTGGAAAAGTACTTGAGGGATTTACCGTGTCATCAAAGTTGGAATATTTGTCAGTTTCAGAGCGAAACATTTCACATGGAGGCGTCTTCATCTTGGCCAGTTTAGCCATCTGAAAGTAAAAGACAAACAATCCTGATTAGATGTGTTGAAAAAAAAACAAAACAGCACAACCTCGTTTTGTGGGAGACGTCAGACTGACCTCCTGCTCCTGTTTCTTCTTGGCAGCTTCTTCCTTCTTCTTTTTCTTTTCTTCTTCCATCTGTGGAAGAGAAAAACGATTGTTAAAAGTGAACAGTCAGCTTCCACATATGGTCAAAGAAATGTCTGCTTGGTATTTCTAAACTTTTCCTTCAGTTTCACAGGGCTTTCCTCAGGCTTAATTGTTGTAGAAAATGTGTAACAGCAGTCCCACAGACTTGAGGAGGGACATTGGGCTGCCAGTTCATGTAACTTAAACCATGACAGACTTGTTTACATCCAAAAAGAAAGATCAGCGTCACCATTAGTCCAGACTCTATTTAGCTCGCGTGGTTCAGTCGTTGTCATCTGATTAAACTCATTGTCTCCAAAACCAGTTCTCCAAACCAGAAACCCAGTGTATTTTTATTCATCTCTGATCCTCTCTCACCTTGTGCTTCTCCTCTTTCTCCTTCAGTAAAGTCTCCCTGTCCACCAGTTTCACCACAGTGGGCAGACCTGCAACACAGTCACACTTTATATAAGCTTTGTTTTCCGTCCCTCGTCTCTTCATGAGAGGAAAACAAGGCTACAACTGTGAACCCAACAATGTTCATCTTCAAATTCATGGCTTATGTTTAACAAAACGACCAACGTAAACTGAATAACTTGTGTAAAAACTGAGCTGTAAAAGGCAAAGTTAATATTCTTTTCCTCAAAAAACACACAAAGACACTTTATTTTTGCTCTAGAGGACAGAAAATGGACGATACCTTCATGATCTTCCAGTCGGACTCCCAGCTCCGGTAAAGTATCATCACGGATGACATCGCAGAGCTGCAGCAACTCCATCACTGCAGAAGTTTCATATATATTTAGATATATAATGTCTCTGGTTTAACATGGATGAAGTGAAGCTCTCAGGTTTAAAATACAGTTTCTTACCTTTCTTCTCTCGGGCAATTTTGCGGACGTCCTCTCTGAAGTCCGACAGCACTGTGAGGTACGGCATCACTGTGGTCTCCAGCTGCAGAGATTTGACAAAAAAATGTTTTTAGATGATTTTCAGTCATCCAGGGGAAAGAAATCCTAAAAAGCGTAAGCGAGGGTAATGCAGGATGTCAAAGAACTGCTCACTAGACTGATTGAGTGTCAGATGTTATTGATATGACACAAGTAAAGTATGTTCAACACTGATTCCTAAGAAAAATACTCATAAAAACCACCTTCACTTGATAATTATGAGAAAATTTGCACATTTCCAACAAAAACGATGAAAACCTGTTTACTTACATCGACACCCTGACCTTGTCCTCCAACGGGGAAACCGATGGGGTCCGATCCTTCAACTGCGCCAAATATCTACAAGACAACAACAAAAGCCTCACGTCAGTGGGTTTAATGCACACTACCTTCACTGCATACTGTATATATTACAGCACAAAAACAAAGCAAACATGATGAAACAACCAATTAATCTACTTGCTGTCTGGGAAAATATGAAGACTGACAAGCCATAAAACAGAATCTACTAAATTATCAAATTATCAAGTAACAAAGACAAGAAAAAGTCAAATGCCAACACTGTGTTATTGTCTGAACATACAATTAACAATCATATATCAATAGATTTCTGGTTCAGGCAGGTAAAAAGACAGTAGTTGTAATCCAAGTGTAATGAAATAACACCATGTAAAATGCTCTCTGTGGGTTTTAAAGTTAAAACATACTTTTGAAATATTTGTAAGATGATAAAACCAGGACCCTAAAAGCTTTGTCATGTCCTGCTTATAACTTTTCAAGATGGATATTTCTGTCTTTTACACAGCGGTGCAGTAATGAGAACTACCACTGGGGGATTCAAGTCCAGACTTACCTTCAGCATGCTGGTGAGGTACGTAGCGATACTTTCCATCAGCATGCGGTTGGGCCTCAGCTTGGCGCTCTTCCTGCTGGCGATGTAGGTGTTGCTCTGACCGACCAGCACCCTCATCTCCTCCATGGCGGTGCGGGTGTCGATGTTGTCGCACAGAGCCTCGTGGACGGCAGCTTTCCTGTCGTAGAAACTGGACGAAACAAGTGACTGTCAGCTCTTAGTCATGACCTGTTTTTATAGGTTCAAGTGCAGCTTGTGCAGAGATAGTGAGATGACAGGGAGGTCGTTTTTGTCTGGATTGAGACCATCAGATGTCTTGTTCTTTACAAGTTTGCAAAGTGAAAGTTAAAAAAAGTGCTTTAACTATTAAATAAAACCTCTTTTTTTTGGTCCTATGATGCTAATGATATTGAAATAAACCGTTTTGTAAAAATGTCAGAAGTGTAAATCTGTTGAAGAGGTTCATCTTCTACTACTGATCATCTAGTGCATCATCTTTGCTCCCTCACCAGTTGTTGAGCTCCACCTCAGCTTCCTCCCACTTCTCAAACTGACCGGTGATGTCAGTCGGAGCTCGCAGGATGTCTTTCACATTGAGGAAGAACTCCTGTTTTAATGGAAAAAGGCAGAAAAACACACACAGGATTAGCACCACTGCTGAACAACAAGCTAACATCCGGCATCAGATTTTCACCTACGTTCATGAACTTCTCGTACTGGACGGCTGACTCCATTGTGTTGGGTGAATAGTCCAGAGTGTCCTTCCAGGAGTGCATCAGGAAGGCCAGGCGCAGCTGACGAGCTGCCGGGAGACAAACAGAGCAACCGTTAGATGTTTCTATTCTAATCTAAGAGGTCATTTAATTTCTTTACGTCATGTTTGGATTCAATCAATAACCGATTATGTGCGACGGCCGTTTTCCATTTGTGAAGTTCTTTTTAGACGAAGGGGTCCATTAATTTTGGCTTCATTTGCACATGACAGACTTGTTATAGAAAAACAACCCGATGCTTATTTATGACAGCTGGTGCACAGCATGAAGAGCAACTGCTGGAAAACAGCAATGCCTTCTTCATTAACAAGGAAAAGGAGTGTTTCATTCTCTCATGAACTTATTTTGCCACTGAAGCGTTAATCAACGACCATCATGAGCACAAGTGACACACTTACCCTCTTCCACTGAAATGTTTTCTCATCAATTCTATTATTTACAAAAGAATTAACGTCAGACTGGTTGCACACAAGCATTTCTTACAGCCAGGACCAGAGAAAATCTGGCTGTTTTTTTTTTTTTTAAACTGACAAACTGATAATTTTTTTGATTAAGCTCTTCTAACAAATACGTCAAAACTTTAAACCTCAAACCTTTCAGCACATGTAAAAGACATAGTATCTTTAAAAAAATCATCAAAGTGGATGAAAGCTATCAGCAAGAAACTGTAAAAACAGAAAGATTGTTGGTTCATCATGTGTGACATGCAGTTCTGTCAGAAAAATGGCCTAAATCTGAGCTGAAAACTGTAATATTTAATCAAAATCATTTTTTTCCACACATTTAACTTAAAAATCCATCAAAATACATCTGTGTTCTAACCAGATCCTGTTAAAAAAAAAAAAGAAAAAGAAAAAAAAGAAAAGAAAATCTTCACTCCTAGGTTGCTTTTCAATTTTCTAAAATAAATAAATTCAACTGTTGTTTTTTATTTTTATGGTAATGTAATTATGTTATACTGGACTAGAGACATCCCTGAGTTCCCTCTTCTTCTAGTCCTGGTTGTTCTGCTTCCATTGAGGTGCAGGACGTTATGTTGCAGTGAAAAATGAGCCCACCGTGAGTTAAAACCACCCAGAAACTGCAGCGACTTTAGACGGTTACTGACATGCAGCAGGACCACATGAGTCACCTGTGTTCTTTGCTAAGGCGTCCTTAATGGTGATGAAGTTCTTCAGAGACTTGGACATCTTGCAGCCGGCGATGGTCAGGTGTCCGGTGTGCAGGAAGTAACGCACCCAGTGGTCGTTCTCAAAGAAAGCCTGTCAGGAAAAAAAAACAAAAAACAACTCTCTCTAATACTTGAAACGGTACTAAAATCCCAGTCCTGTTTGTATGTTTTTTTGTTTTTTTTTAGTGTTTGTCTGTTTGGAGTTTCAGTAAATTTCACCTCAGACTGAGCCAACTCGTTGTCGTGATGAGGAAAACGGAGATCAAACCCTCCACCGTGGATGTCCATCGACTCTCCCAAGATGGAGCCAGCCATGGCTGAGCACTCGATGTGCCATCCAGGTCGTCCCTGTCAGTAACAAACATACCGATCCATCCCTTATCCATAAAATGTCACAGAACAGTGAAATGGCCTTTTGATATTTGGTGACATCGTCAATCATGTTGTTTTGTTTGACCAACAGACCACCCAAAGATATTGAATATATCATCAAATATAACAAAGAAAAACATTTCTTACATTTTTTGGCCAACAGCTCCAAGATACTGAATTTATCATTAAATATAACGAAGTGAAACAGTCGTTTCTTACATTTTTTCGACCAACCGCCCAAATATATAAAAATTTACAGTCAAATAAAACAAATAAAAACTGTCATTTCTTATATTTTTTGACCAACAGCTCAAATATATTGAATTTATCATCAAATAGAACAAAATAAAGCTGTAATTTCCTAAATGTTTTGACCAATAGCTCAAAGACATTAAATTAATCCTCAAATATAAGAAAAACTGTAATTTCTTACATTTGAGAAGCTGTGACCAGAAAAAACATTCAGGTATCTCTGCTCAAAAAGTCTCATTAATTATCCAACAAACTGCAGATGAAGTTTTTTTGTTTTCTAACAGTCACATGAAAACTTTGAAGCAATTAAACTAAATGTGAGAATTCAAACTTTAAACACTCCCTTTATTCTTTCTGGAGGAAATTAAATGTTTAAAGCTATGCTGCAGATGATCACCTTTTGAAGTGATTTAAGTTTAATATCATACAACTATGGGTGCTTACCTTCCCCCACGGAGAGTCCCATGAAGGCTCTCCAGGTTTGGAGGCTTTCCACAAGGCAAAGTCATTCTGGGACTTTTTCTCACTTAACCTCTCTGCAGAGATGCTCAGGTCCCCTGTGGAGCCCCAAAACACACAGAAGAGGTTAGAACACATGAAAGCAGGAACACATCCTTCCATGTTCATGTTTTTCGACATTTATCTTATAATTCTGAGTTGATTTTATGTATATCTGACCTCTGATTTGATCCCTGTGTCTCTGATTTGGAGTAAAATGTCTGCTTTCGCTACTTTAATTATTTGAATTTGAGATTAAAATACAGCAATGAGACAAAAGCAGGAGCTAGCTGGAGCATATAAACATACACACTTTCAGACACAGTAGATGGTAAAAAGTTTTATAGCGTATGAGGAAGTTTTGAGCTTTTCTGACATGAACTTTGTGTTGAATCACCAGTTTATAGAAGTTTGTTTTTTAGAAACCATGTGAATATGGGCAGCTGGTCTGCTCTCAGTTACCATTACAGCAAAAATTAACCAGGTTCAAATAATTTAATATGCTGCAAAGACAAGCTTTTTATGTTGATTTAGGATTTAGTGAATCCACAGATAAAATGCCGATATTGTTTTTTTTTCCTGCAGCCAGTTAATTGGTTAAAGAGTAGGTGTGATTGTAGTCGTTTGTTTTTTGGTTCAATGCAGCAACATGAAGAAAACACTGCATCAGTTCAATTTTTTTCTACAAAAACTTCTATCATGAGAAGAATGAGATTTCCACCCATTCTAACATTGCAGCGAGGTAAAAACGTACCTTCTCCCTCCTGTAAAGCTTTCTGATCTCCGACCGCCTCCGGCACCAGCTTGGCGTACGAGTGCTGCGGACTGGAATCGAACTTGGAGGTGTTGAAGTAGACTGAACCGTTTGACTCATACCTGCAAAATGTCAGAGAAACGGATAATTACACTAACGCTGCCTCAGCTGTTACTTTAGATGTAACATAAAACACTGCTGGCGTCTTCCTCACCCGTAACCATTTGAGACAACCTTCTTCACAAACTCCACGATCTCGGGGACGTACTCGCTGACTCGAGTGAGGACGTCAGGAGGGAGAACCTGCACAACAACAGCAGGGCAAATATGTTTTAGCACTGTTTTTTTTTTTTTATAACTGCATTCTGTTTTTTTAGTACATTTTTGCAGCAATATTATTTGCATGTATATTAACATTCACTCTTGTATAAGCTCAGAGTCTTGCAATACGTAACTACTACATACAGAACCACGTAGCTCAAAGTATGGAGTTTTTGCAGAGCGAAGGGAAATCTTTATGCATGTGATGCTATTTCAGGTAGTTGTGTGCTTCCAGTTTTGTGCTCAACAGTTTAAAAAGCACAGTTCGAGTCAGGCCAATATCAGTGATGTGCAGTGACTTCTCTGTGCAATAACACAGTTCTAACTATCATTATTTATTACACTGTATACTTACATTTATAAATTACATTTTATGCTTTTCTACTTATGTTTATATTTACAGGACATATTTATCTACTCATGTTGATTCTATATTTTTTCCACTGCTTAAGTTTCTGAAGAAAGACAGCAATTCTCCCTCTGGAATCAATAAAGTATCTGATGACTAATACTTATGGTTGGATGGGTGAAAAATACCTGACACCCCCGATCTAAAATCTGTTTTATTTTATTTCTTTTTAAAATTAAACCAAATGAGTTGAATGACAAATCCTGCTCTTGGGTTTGATGTGTGGGTGTCCATACACTTTTAACCATGTAGGGGATAAAGCAGAGCAGAGTCTTTTGCATACACAAAGAAAAGATGAAAATACGGTTTTAAAGAGAACTGCAAAAACCCGAATTCCTTAGAAAACGGTTTTCATACGTACGTTTAGAGCGGCCATGTCTTTATGATACTCTCCCTCCCAGTATTTTGGGAGGATGGAGAAGATTGAGTTCTCTGAGACTTGACTTCCAAACTGTTTGTCCAGCCAGTCGGCCAGCAGGTCCTTGGAGTTCTCCAACAACACCTATGAAAAAGAGAGTAAAATATTGACATATATACACACAGTGTAAACACAACATACACAGCACATGTAGTAGACCACCACCCAGTGTAAGGTTTATGCCACAGCTGGCCTAAATTAACAGCACTGGTAATTACCAACATCATTTTTTTCATGTTTCTGTAATGGTTAATAAACCAGTATGTAGAAGCTCTATAACCAAAATGATTTTTTTACCACTAGAATATAATTATTATTGTTATCCATGAATTTTCACATTTACAGTTTTACAAAAAAGAAAAAGAAAAAACAGTAAAGCACATCATTATGTCTTGACTAAGATGTCAAATCATAATCATTTACTTGCATTCCTGAACAGAAGAAGTAGTTTTAGTGGCTAAATGTTACGCTTGAAAGAGCATGATATATTTCTAAGACATTAAACTGAAAAGAAATTCATACACAACTTTTCTTTCTGTTCTAAATCATCTTTTCTTTTGCATACTTGGGCTCTAAGTTAGATCTATCAGCAGCTAAAAAGTTCTTTGTAAGGTTAATAAAAAGCTCATATGTTCACATCTGCTGGAGGAGGAGCTCTGGATGAGGGCTGCTTCAATTAAAATAAAATTTATTGATCCCTCTATAAATTGATTTTTCTGATTATGCTGCCACCTCATTGCATAACTTTGGAAAAATAATGAACTCCCTGAAGCAGAAAGCAAAAAAGAAAAGACCGTTTTAAAACTTCCTTCCTTCACACAAGTTAAGTCAGATCACTTTAAAACGTTGATGTGCAATTGAGAAAAGAGAGATTCAAGGTTGGAAGTAAATATTAAAAGCTCCTATGGCATCTTCTTCATCCTACCTGGGCCAGAGGTTGCACAGCTGCGTCAGCTGCTTTGCTCTCCATCGCCGCCTGCAGGGGCTTCAGAGCGTCTGCAACAGCAGCGTCCAGCCTCTCCATCATATGCTTCTTATCTGGGTCTGTGGTCGAAGCCAAGCTGGCCTGGAAAGGCTGAAAATAACCAAATAAACGCATCAGGAGGATTGACGTGAAGAGACAGAAACAAACGAGCAAGGTAGAGTTTCACTGAAGCATCCAAGGATGTCACTTCTGATTTCTGGATCTGATAGTTGGACTTTGGAGGTTATTGATGCTTAGAGGTTGTGTCTAATGGTGTCTCCCTTTGATACGGTCTGTTGATCTCTTAACTAGTCTCTGCTTCCCAAACAGACTTTACAGCGAAACAAACCAACAGAGTTTATAGTTTAAGCTGCAATGCAACAATTTTTACATTAATCATTTGTTTTTAAGTCTGACTGAAGGTAAATACAGAAACTAACTGCATGGAACTCCCAATCTCCCCACGTTGTCCTGTAACAATAACCCCAGAGTAACACAAATGATGTTTTTTTTTTTTTTTTTTTTAAATTACAACATACTTAAAGAAACAGACACTGTACTTGTTTGTGTCCGAAACCATAACAGCAAGTATTTCAGAGACGTGTTCTGCATCAGAAGTGTTTATTCTCACCCCTCTGGCGCTCAGGACATCCTGCAGTATTTGAGCAGGTTGCGGCTTCTTCTCCTTGTACTGCTCCAGAAGGTAGTTCTGCCGAGCTCGTTTAATGATCTGAAACAAGGAAATGAACAAATGAAGTCCAAAAACAGGATAAAAATGACCACCCAGATGCATGTAAATACAATATTACCATCATTAAATAAGTATTGCTTCATACACGTCTGATATTCACTGCTAGAAAGGTTTTAAACCATCAGATTTTGGAATTAGTTTCAAAGCAAACACGAATTTATACAAGAAAATTATGTATTTTCACTCTCGCACAAATACACAGACGAGAGATTTCACTTTTTAAAATTATATTAAAGTTTTTTAATATCTTGTATTTATTTAATTTTTTAGAAAATTTAAATAAAAGCTTTTCAAGACTTGTAGAATATGGGGAAATATGTTTATCTATGCAATTAAAAAAACAAACCAGGGATGAATGAAGCATACTCACTTTGTCATCGATGTCTGTGATGTTTATGCAGTAAAAGACGTCATATTTGAAGTAGTCCTTCAGCGTCCTTCGCAGAATATCAAAAGATATGTAGGATCTGTACAGAGAAGCAGGTTACACATTAAACTACTGCTATAACAGAAGAAATATATACATGGTGGCTGTGTGAAGGTGAATTTCACCACAGTGTGTGTTTACCTGGCGTGTCCCATGTGTGAGGCATCGTACACGGTCGGTCCGCAGCAGTACCACGTCACTTTATTCCCTTTCTGGGGAACAAACGGCTCCTGAAACGTGATGCGACAAGATGCATTATGTGTATCCGTCTGCTAGTTACAAATAAACTGTGACAGATATGATGATATATTTGTACGAATCAAAACTAGTGTTACAAGAACAAAAAACACACAATAAAGAGAAACACATAAAGTAAAACACCAAGAATAAAACAGAAAAACAGTGGGTGAATTCAAACTTCAAATACAGCCACTACAAACATAGCATTTAATTAGGTTTCATTATTGACTCACATTGTTGTTTGTTTGCAAATTTCAACTTTCAGTTCATAAAACTTTACAAAAATAAGGTGAAATAAACATTTCAAACAATATAAGCGTAATTAAATATCAAATAATACATTTACTTGGATTTTAAAGCTGTAACTGGATTCTTTTCTGTTACTTCCTGTCAAACTTCACATATAGCAGCTAAACTTTGGGGCTCTTTATCACTTAAAGGTGCATTTAAGTATTTTTATTCACCTGAAATATTAAAATACACACAAAAATAAAACACTAAGGGACTTCATTTATCCCTCTAAACTAGTAATTACAGCTGCAGAAGAGAAAAATCTAAAGCTTTCTAAATGAGTTACAGGACAGTTACTGATGTTTCCCGTCTTACACTGATGCAATAATTATCTGTGCACTTTATTATTTCCTTATCAGGGGGCTGATAGTCGTCCTTTGGTCTTTATACAGGTCTCAACCGACAGTTTCACTTTATGAAATCATCAGAGGAAGGACGTCAGAAAAACAGCTCACATTCAGCTTGTTTGGATAATAATTGTGTGAGGGGACAGATAAAGATCCTGAAGTTTCACTTGCTAAATCACTCAAAGTCAATAAAAATGCAGACGCAGGACTTGCTGCAGGTCCAAAGCACCACGTTCTAATGGTGGACTTCAAGATAAAAAATACTGTGAATCTTAACAACTGTTTTTAGATTTAATGTGACTCTATGTGCTGCATCTTGAGTTTATTTTCCCCAAGAAAGCTCATGAATATCTCCACATGACAAGAATGCGGCCATGAGACGGTATGTTTTAGGTACCTTTGCTCTGGTCAGGCTGTTGTAGAGGCGAAGCTGGGGAACGTCTGTTCCTGCTGGTGGAGACCAGGGAGGCTGAACCCGCTTTCCCTTCGCTGGAAAATCAAATGAGAAAATGGGAAATTTCTTTTTAACGTCACAAGACTGAACATTTTATTCTGCTAGCCTTTAAATATTATACACAAGAAAATAATGTCAGTGTGCAGGATCCTAAAATCCCTGCTGCAGTGAGACTGTCTCATGTTCCTTCAGTCATTCAAATAATATGAATGTTGTTTTATGACATTAAAGAGCTTTAAATTGAATATACAGTAAAGTCTAAATGTTTGAGACCAGCACTGAAGACGCCTTGATTTATAATTAGTTTCAAATTTAATACAATCTGCTCTCAGGCTGCACATTTTTGCAAAAAAACCTACATCGCAATATTTTCTTTTTCTGCATACATATTGCAGTACGGCTTGAATTACTGTATTTGGGAAGAATTTACCTTTCTACAAAGGTTGTGGTGAATTTATAGGAGAGTGCATTAGGACATAAAGTAAAGAATTATTTCCAAAAAGCTGGAAAAAAGCCATTTGGAACCGTTCTCACAAGGTAACACCAGCAAAGGCATCCAGGTCTGGCTCATATGGCGCTTTGTGCTGCTGATTTAAATGGTCAGCATGCATGTCAACAAACTGTCTGTCTTGTAAATGAAGTAAAAAGTAAAGCTCAGTGTCTTAGATACTCTAACTGGGATTCTTCAGTTTTTCTCCATCATCCAATGCTGCTCTGTCTCAGCACCAGCCCAAGTCTTTGTCCTTGTTTTTCTCCTGAAAAGTGGGTTTCAAACACTCCTCGTCCTCTCAGATCACCATTACACAGTCTTATATTTACAGTAAATTCTGAATCTCCTGATGAGAACAGCTCATCTTCCCACCCAGGAGAGAATAACAACATAAGTGAAAGAAAAAACAAGAGGGGACTGCGTCAAACGAAAACCACATGAAGCCACAAACGTTAACGGAAAATCAACACAGAACAAAACAGGATGTAACACCTAGGTAATAATGAAACCAAAAATAAAAGAAAATAACATGAAATAAGAAATAAAGACAAGCAACAAATCTCCACATTGTAAAGCTGGAAATGATGAATTTTGAGATTTTTGGCTTGAAAATGTTTTTAACAACTGAATGATTGAAACTGTTCCTGTTGATGGTAAATAAACTGATGACTTCTGCTCTAATGTTCAATGCTTTACTGAGGTTGTGCATCATATCATGAGCAGGACTACAACTAACATTTGACTGATTATTTTCTAACATTATAGTTGTTTGAGCTATGAAATGTCAGAAACAGAAAATGAAAAAAAAAAGTGAATCAGTGTTTCAAAAAACCTCAAACCACAACCAAAGAAACCAGAAAATACCCACATTTAAGAAGCTGCAATCGAAGAATTTAGGCTTTCTTTTTTTTTTAAATCACTACTCAAATCAATTCCTAGAATAAATGTTTTAATATTTGACAACTAATAGATTAATCCACCTTTAAAAATTTACCAACACAAGAATGTACTTAGAAGTTGTTTAATTATACTGAAAGCAGGTGGAGTGAAGGCAGAGTGAATATATTTCAGCACAGAGCTGTGGATTAAGGTTTCTTCTTCTCAGAAGTCAACACATTACTGGAAAGGAGAAAAACTTTCAGTTTCACACTGAGTAACTACAGTTTCTCTATTTCATTTTTGAAAAGTGGCCGGCCATTTACCGGCTTAACTCCAAATTCAAGTAAAATACAAGCTATCTTATATTTATATTATTGACATTTTGCAATTTTTGCATCTTTTGTCTCCTTGTTTTGACTCGTTGTTTGTATTGTACACAGACTCACACTTCTCAGAACAACAGACGCATGTTCAGTGAAGGAAGACTTTGCAGGGAAAACTTCACACAAACACACAGCAGTGACAAAACGTTGTTCACATGTTTTTCTAGACATGCAGTGCAACTCTGCAAGAAATGACATCCAATTTTCACACCTTCATGCATTCTCCTGTCCGGTAAACTGCAGCTATTCTTCATGTAAAGCAACACGTGTGCAGTTTGTACCAGCTGCTGACGTTTGTTTGAACACTGATAGAGTGACTGTCCTCTGCACTCAGCTGTCACAAACAGCACACTGCTGCGACTGACAAGAAAACTCAAAGCAAAAAAACTGAAGGAGATCTGGGTTCATGCGTGTTAGAGGAGGCTGCAGCTGCTTTTAGTGCTGCCTTCAGGACCTCAGACAGCCTCCACATCTGGGGAGGGACCACGATCAACGTCTAGCCTGTTCATGCCTTCAGCTGTCTACTCACTGCTGCTCTCTGGGCGGAAGTCCTGCTGCAGGGCTGCTATGTGTCTGTACCAGCGCAGAGTGTGCACGTGTTGCGGGTCTGGGGGCCTGCGGAGGAGCGTAAAGGCTTTCTGGTCGGCCTGGGAGGGGCTGAACCCAGCCAGGTAGCTGCGTGAGGAGAGGTAGTCATTCAGGGCCGCTGCCAGCGCGGCCTCCTCATTTATCTGTAGCAAGAAGCCAAACTCAAAGGCTGCAGAAACAAGAGGGCAAATGTTCGCAAAGAATTACCGACGAAGCAGCAACAGCCTGAGAAAACACCAACAACAACACCAACAGTACCCTGGACGGTGGGATTACAAGGAGTGCTACATGATCATGCTCACAGCCAAGAACTGAAAGTCAACACACTTC